TTTCAGGGCTCGGGTCTCCCGGGTCGTCCGCAGTGTTTTCCTTCTTACTGCGGTCTGTCTTTGCGCCCGTGCTGTTCAGACGTTTACAGCAATTGCTGCTGTGTTGGTGACGTCTCGGGCTCATTTCGGGCGCAGGGAATTGTGGGTCGCACAGGTTTTTGGCCGCCCATCCATGTGTGCGTCTGTTCTTGGGCGTTCTTGTTGCCTTGGGTCGCAGGTTTGCGACCGGTTGTCTTGGCTTTGCGTTGCAGAGTTTGTGGCGGCCGCCTCCCGGGTTAGCCCTTTCTTTTCCTTCTCTTTGGGTATGAAGCTCCAGGGAGCCGTAGGGGCTCCCCACAGAAAACCAGCGTTGAATGTAATGAAACGCCATTTTCTGGGTGAGCCCCGGAGGCTCCCTGGAAACCCTCCCTCCCACCGGTCGGCGGTTTTTTCGCGTTGGTTGAAGCTTAGCTTCCGAACTGGAGCTTGGCAGCCGGCGCGGTAGGTCCGGGGCTCCCCCCTCCCCCTCCCGGGGTGGGGAGGGCTGCGCGGACGATCGGCGCGGCAGTAAAGTGTGATGTTTGCTTGTTTGCTTGTTTCCTTGGGATTGTAGGGAGTTTTCTACCTCTCTGTTCGGTTTTTGTTGTAGTTTCTTACCATGTGGGGTTTGTTTTGTTACGCCTACCTTTCTGGGTGCCTAACCCCGGTCGATGGCAGATAAGGAAAACCCCCAACCATATGGGGTTTTCCAGGGCCATTGCTCCCTGAAACCTCTCTGAAGGGGCCAGGTTCTGGCGCTGGTCCCTGGTAGGTCTGAACTCCTTAGCTAATGTCCCGGTCTAACATAACACACATTAGCCCGATAAGCTCCAGGGAGCCTCCGGGGCTCACCCAGAAAATGGCGTTTCATTACATTCAACGCTGGTTTTTTTCTCTTCTTGGTTTGTAGTGGCCACTTCGGTTCAGGATTATTTCTCTAAGGCTCTTTTCCTATTGGCATTGGCCTCTGGGGTTCGGGTCAGGGAGCTTCATGCTCTCCTCCTGTGCAGGGGTTTCTGCTCCTTCAGTCCTGGTGGTAGGTTAGTTTGGTTGTAGCCGAATCCTTCTTTTCTGGTGAAGAATGAGACTGCTACTTTCCGGAGGGGTCCTTGGGTTGTTGATGCTTGGTTGGTCAGGTGCATCATGTGTTGTGTCCAGTTGCGGCTCTGCGCCGTTATTTGCATGCAATGGCTTACGTGGCCAGGGATGCACTTTGGGTTGACCTGATTTCCCTCCTTCCTTGTTCCTGGACTCGGGTTTCTCAGGTCGTCCACAGGGTTATTAAGTCTAGCCAGCCTGCGGTCTATTCCCATGCCTAGGACATTGGTAGTTTGCTGCTTTGGCTGCCATCTTAGATAACATGTCTTGGGTCGACATTTGGGCACGGGGTTTTTGGAGGTCGAACAGGGTCCTGGCCGCTCACTACCTTGTCAATGTCCCTGGACCTGGTAGGGCCTGCGTTGCATTGGGTCGGCGGTTGCAGCCTATTGTCTCGACTTCACATTGAGGAGTGAGGACTGACCGCCTCCCGGGTAAGTCCCTATGTTTTTCCTTGTCTTTGGGTAGTTATCTCAGGGAGCCGACAGCAGAAAACCAGCGCTGAATGTAATGAAACGTCATTTTCTGGGTGAGTTCCGAAAGCTCCCCAACATTCCTCCCTCCCTCCCTCGGGGGGGCGGACCACCACGCCGGCTGCCTTCAGTTCGTAAGCTAGTGTCAACCGGGACAGACGCTTCTTTGGCCCCAAATTCCTGGTCAGTGTTTTGCCTTGTGTGGCATTCTCTACTGTCTTTGTGTGGTGTGTTGTGGCCAGGAGAGCGGTTGTGTGGGAGACTGAACTTCGCCATACTAGTCTACCCGCCTGGTTGGGTTTGGCTTCGGCGTCTGTTTTGGTTCCTTCGGGAACGCCCCTTCCGCTTCTCTCGCGATCGTTGGGTTCGTCCTCCGGGGGCCTTGTGTCGGTTGCTGCGTCATCAGCTTCTTCGGGATTTTCGGGGTTCGGTGCTTTAGCGCCTTCCTGAGCCTGTGCTCGATGTGTTCACGGATGCGTTGTCTCTCGGCTGGGGCTTTGTGACCAATGCTCACCAGGCCGGCCAGGGACAGTGGGGTCCGTCCTTCCATCGGGCTCACAGCATGGTTCGGGAGTTCGCTACAGTCTGGTTTGCTCTTCAGAGGGTTCGGGTCGCTCTGGGATCGACCATCCGGCTCCATTCGAACTGTTCTCCTGTGGTTCATTGCCTGAACCTCAGGGATTCTCTTAGGTCCTTGCCTCTTTGGGGTTGGTCCCTTCGAGTTGTTCGTCTGCTGGATTCTCGGGGTTTGGCTCTCCGTGCGGTTCATATCCGGGGAGTGTCCAACGTCCTGGCGGACAACCTGTCTCGCTTCATTCCCCTGTCCACAGAATGGACAACCGACGACGACTAGTTTCGATGGATCTGCCAGACATGTGGACTCCCAGACGTGGACCTCTTCGCGTCGGCGTGGTCTCGGTGCCTCCAAGTTTGTGACGCCCTTCCCCGACTGAGGCGTTCGCGGTGAATGCCTTTCGGCAGGACTGGTCGAGGTGGGGTTACCTGTACCTCTTCCTCCCCTGTCTAGCTGTTGCTTCGGGTTCTGGCGAGGTTGGAGACCTTTCCAGGGAGAGTAGTCATTGTGGCCCCTTGGTGGCCGCCCCAGCCCTGGTTTCCGGCGCTATTTGCTCGGTGTCCGAACCGGGGGCGTTTCCCGCGGCTCCGCCTTTTTCAGCAGGTCGGACCGGCCCGGTACGAGGCTGGTTCGAACTTCTCCTCTGGTCTTTTTGACGCGGTTATATCACCATTTCTATGGTGATCAGGTGACTTTGTTGATGGTGTCTCACCTGAGAGCTTCGTCTCGGCGACAGTATGAAGTTTCTTGGCGTTTTTTTCGCCATTTTCTTGCTCTTCATAGGTTGTCTTTTCTTTCGGATCAGGTTGTCTTGTCCTGTCTTTCTTGGCTTTTTCAGGACCGTCATTTGATGCCTAATACTGTCGCCTCGTATCGTGCGGCGCTGGCAGAGCCGCTCCAGCTAGCATTCGGGGTGGACGTCACATCCGCCCCGTTCCGTAAGCTTTCTCGTGCTATGTTTCACCTCCGGCCTGCTCATGCGCCGCCTGAGCTATCCTGGTCCTTGGACAGGGTGCTCTCCTATCTTTCCTCTCCTCGGTTTGTGGTGGCCCCTTCGGTTCCTGATTGTTTTTCCAAGGCTTTGTTTTTGTTGGCATTGACCTCTGGGGGTCGGGTTGGGGAGCTCCATGCTCTCCTCCAGCGCAGGGGTTTCTGGTCTTTTGGTCCTGCAGATCCTGTTTATATGTTTGCAGCCTTCTCCATCTTTTCTGGCGAAGAACGAGACAGCTGCTTTCTGGAGGGGTCCGTAGGTTATTGATGCTTGGTTGGTTCGGCCGGGGGTTCATCATGTGTTGTGTCAGGTTGCGGCTATTCGCCGTTACCAGTGCACCTCAGCTGGAGTAGCTGGGGATGCGCTTTGGGTTGATATGGTTTCCCTTGTTCCCTTGTTCCAGGGCTAGGGTCTCCCAGGATGTCCGCAGGGTTATTAAGTCTAGCCAGCCTGCAATCTATCCTCATGCCCATGACGTTCGGAAGTTTGCAGCTTTGGCTGCCGTGTTTAGTAACATGTCTTAGGCTCATATTCGGGTGCGTGGATTTTGGAAGTCGAACAGGGTCCTGGCCGCCCATTTTTTGGTGAAAGTGCTTGCTCCTCGGGGTTCTTGTGTTGTTTTGGGTCGCAGGTTGCAGCCAGTTGTTTCGACTTCGCGTTGAGGAGTTTGTGGCCGCCACCTCTCGGGTAAATCCCTATATTCTTCTCTTTGGGTATGTAGCTCCAGGGAGCCGTAGGGGCTCCCCACAGAAAACCAGCGTTGAATGTAATGAAACACCATTTTCTGGGTGAGCCCCGGAGGCACCCTGGCAACCCTCCCTCCCACCAGTTGGCATTTTTTTCGCATTGGTTGAAGCCTAGTGAGGTCCAGCCACCCCCCCCCCCCCTTCCCCTCTCGGGGAGGAGAGGGGAGGGCTGCGCGGACGACCGGCGCGGCAGTAAATTGTGATAATTGCTTGTTTGCTTGTTTCCTTGGGATTGTAGGGAGTTTTCTACCTCTGTTCGGTTTTTTGTTTTAGTTTCTTACCATGTGGGGTTTGTTTTGTTATGCCTACCTTTCTGGGTGCTTAACCCCGGTCGATGGTAGACAAGGAAAACCCTCGACCACAAGGGGGTTTTCCAGGACCATTGCTCCCTGAAATCTTTCTGAAGGGGCCCAGGTTCTGGCGCTGGTCCCTGGTAGATCTGAACTCCATAGCTAATGTCCTGGTCTAATATAACATACATTAGCCCGATAAGCTGCAGGAAGCCTCCGGGGTTCACCCAGAAAATGGCGTTTCATTACATTCAACGCTGGTTTATTGCCCGGTTTGTTTCTGTTTGAAAATTAATATTAGTTATCCATTCTTTTATAAGATGTGTGTGTAATTGCATCTATTGCAGAAGTTTGTAGTGTATCATTTTGAAGCAGCAATACTTACTTATTTTAGAGAGATTACAGAAGGTCTGCCTCTTCCCACAAATGGTATTTTTAAACTTATAAATTCTGTCACCAATTAGCTACAAGCTCTGATAGCAATACTTTACAAGTCTTGAAGGCTTCAAACCAATATGTCAAGGCATTTCTTAATTTAAACATTGGTAATGCAGCATGGTATGTGCATAGGTATGTCCTTCAATGCTCCACTCTCCATCTGAAATTCACATATGCCCCAGTCCCAACCCTGTCCAGGCTCTCTTATATGTATGGTAATTAGACATATTGCAAGTAATGGTAATTGTTGAGAATATGCTGAATGCAAGTAAAACAGACTTTTCAATTGCCTACTACAACTCGTAACTAAAAAATGTGTTTTTTGGTTTGTCAATATAGTTATGCCTTTGTGCCATGTGTTTTCCTCCACAGATGACAATGGTCTGAACCCCATGTGGTGCAGCAATTTGATATTTCATGTGCAGAATCCTGAGTGCAGTCTGATACGTTTTGTTGTCTACGATGAAGATGTCTTCAGAGAACCAAACCAGATTGGCCAAGCAACTTATCCAGTAAGGGAGGGATGCATGTAGAACATTAAAGATTACTTGTATGTTTAAGGCATCTTCCTTCCTGTATACCTAGCATGGAAGTTATTACAATATGTTAGTCATACTCCTGTGCTTTATCAGAATATTTGTCACTTGTATTTTTATAAGCTGCTTAAGATGTAATTATGCTGATAAAACCCTTTCAAGCCATTTAATAATCAAATGCTACCAAGGAAGTAAAGATTAAAACTAGAAAATACTAGCACTCAAGCCTAGTATAATTCCATCTTAAGCAGCATGTGTGTTGTCTGCTTCCCCCTTCTGTCCTCTTATCTTCCTTAAGGACATTGTTGTCTAGTTCCTGACTATGGCTGCTACTCCCTAAGAGGTCCTGCAGACCTCTTGGTCAATTGTTGTATGGGGGCTCTGTCCTGCATTTTCAGAGGCTATCTGGTAGGGTTAAGGCCGTGCCTGCTCTGAGTCGGAGCAGGTTCCAGGCAGTCAAATTCCCGAGCTGTTGCACTTCAGTTGGCGGGTTCCTCTTCCACACCACGACACTACTTTTATATGTTGCTGAAGAATGGCACCTTCTGTAGTTTGCCCTGGTACTTTAACAGGTCGCCCTGTTGATGGGATGGGTGAAGAGACTTCTGGCTGGTTTGGCCAACTCCTGGTCCCCTGATTTGTGGGCTTTTTGGATTGTTTACCTCAGCCTCCAGTGTAGTTTACCTGCCTCCAGCTGAACTCGGCAGAGCTCAGGTTCACCCTTGATCTTTCAGGCTTGAATCACTACATTACATGACCACTCTGGCCAGTATCACTCCAACTGCTCCCTGGTGGTTCATTGTTTGAACCGTAGGGGTTGCTTTGATCTTTTGCCCTGTGGAGCTGGACACTGTGTAGCTTGGTTTCTGGATTCTCAGGGTTTGCTTCTCCACCTGGTTCACATCAGGGGCATGTCTAACATGTTTCTGGAAGAGTTATCTCGGTTTAGTCTCTATTTTTTCCATGGAGTTGACCATCGACGACGTGTCATTCCATTGGGTCTGCGAGAAGTTTGAGCTTGCCGAGATGAAGCTCTTTGTGGCGGCATGGAACCAGCACCTTCTTCCTATGTGTTTCATTCCTTGATTGCAAGGCGTACACGGTGGATGCCTTTTGACTGGACTAGTCAAGGTGGAAGTTCATATACTTTTTCCTCTGGTTCAGTTGTTGCTCGGGATTTTGTCCAGGCAGTTGTTCTTAGGAAGGTGTGATCCATCTGTCTCGTTGGTGGTCAGCTCAGTCATGGTTTCCAGCACTTTTAATCCGATGTCTGATTTTGAGAATTTTTCACAAGTTGTCTCAGGGTATTTTGTCACCTCTGGCCTGCTGTTACACCTCCTATCTTATCCAGCACACTTGACAAAGTCTTGGCATTTCTTTCCTTCCTTCGGTCTAGAATACCATTTTTAAGGTGGTGGTTTTGTTGGCATTTGCCTCTGGCTGTCTGGTTGGGGAGCTTCATGCTCTCCTCTGGAGGCATGGGGTTTTACCCCTTTGGTCCTGGTGGGCAATTTCTTTATTTGCATCAGTCTCCTTCTTTTCTGGCAAACAATGAGTTGGCAAGCTTCTGGAGGGACTTTTGTGAATGAAGCTTTGTTGGTTTAGGGCTGTATCATTTGTTGTCTGGTGGTGGTTCATTACCACTACCTACATGCCACTTGTCTACCTCGGTGGACACTTTGTAGATTCGTTCTGTTTCCTTAGTTCCCTGTTTCAAAGCTCGGATTTTCCAAGTTGTGTGCAGTGTTATCGAGTCTAGCCAGCCTGCTGTCTACTCCCCAGACCCTTGAGGTTTACACATACGCTGCTCATGCTGGGGTTTTCTCCAACATGTCTTCTGATAATATTCATACTTGGGTTTTGGTGGTCTAACAAGATCATGGTGGGCCGGTATTTAGTCAACTTCCTGGCTCTTCATCATTCTTGTGTTGCTCTAGGCCATGTTTCCCAGCCTTCTCCTTTGTTATAGTACCTGCTGTCTCTCCTTGTTTTTCTTCTCTGTGGTTCATTAGCTTCAGGGAGCCACTGGGAATTCCCCCAGAAAATCAGCAATGAATGTAACAAGATGCTAATTTTTGATAGGACACTAATGTCTTCCTGACACCCTACATTTGTACCACCATACTGTTGGTTCATTGGTATTTTGTTCATCTGATTCAGAAGTAACCTGGAAGGGTTAGCTGGGGTGGGGGCTTGGGCTCCAGCCCACCTGGTGGTGGTTATTGATACTAACAGGCTCAAGCTAGTTATGAATGTTTTTGAATGTTTCAATCTTTTTGAATTGTTTGGGAAGTTGTTTGGCTGTTGGTGACTTCCCTCCTGTGAACCTTGCAACTGTTCGTAATACTTCAATGACTTTCCTAGTTGGATGGCGAAATGTCACTCACTCTATGCCTGTGAGACGAGGGCCAAGTTCTGGCTCTGGTTCTCCCGTAGACAAACAACTCCTGCAACTGATGTGACCTAATAGCTAGGAGCAGTCTCGGCAAGATGGCATCTGGGAGCCACCAGGGCTCATCCAGAAAGAGGCATTTCAATTCATTCAACACTGAACCAACTAGGAACGAAAACACGCTGCACCTGATATTCACGAACAATGAGGAGCTAATCAGAGACATTACTGTCTCAGACACTACGTACTCGGACCACAAGCTCATTGAAGTGCAAACTAACATTAATAACGGTAGTAGGCCCAAGAGAAACAACAAGCGAGAAGGGTTATTCAATAAATTCATATTGAATTTATTAATATTCGTATTAGTGAAGGTTCATACACTGAGGATGACAAAGAAATTAGTGAAATTCTAAAAAAGCAGTATGAGGACATGTTTAGCACTCCAATACACATCATGAAAGTGGAAGATTCGAACAATTTCTTTATGAATGATATCCAAACACCTGTAAATATAACTGATATCAACACGAGCATAGCAGATTTGAAAGAGAAATTGACAATATGCCCATACACTCAGCCCCGGGTCCAGACTCATGGAATTCAATATTTATAAAGAAATGCAAAGTGCCAGTAGCACAGGCACTCAGTATAGTGTGGAGGAAGAGTTTGGACACAGGGGAGATACCAGATGCGCTTAAAGCAGCAGACATTGATTGCCCTTCTACACAAGGGAGGTAGCAAAGCATTGGCAAAGAATTATAGACCAGCTGCACTAACGTCCCACATAATAAAAGTATTTGAGACAGTGATCAGGAGTCGGGTCACTAGATTCATGGAAACCAATGACCTCCACAATCCAGGCCAACATGGATTTAGAGCAGGAAGATCATGCCTCTCACAGCTACTTGACCACTAGGACAAAATCACTGAGGCATTAGAAGAAAAACATAATGCAGATGTCATATACACAGATTTTGCAAAGGCATTGACAAATGGAACCATGGAGTGATTGCACACAAAATGAGGTCAATGGGTATAACTGGTAAAGTAGGATGCTGGATACTCAATTTCCTGTCGAACAGAACATAAAGAGTAACAGTCAATCAAGTAAAATCGAGTCCGAGCGCAGTTAAAAGCTCTGTACCTCAAGGTACAGTCCTTGCACCACTGTTGTTCCTTATTCTCATATCAGATATAGACAAAAATACAAGTCACAGCTTCGTGTCATCCTTTGCAGATGATACAAAAATCAGCATGAAAATTACCTCTGCTGAAGACACTGATAAACTACAAACAGATATTAACAAAGTTTTCGACTAGGCAGCAGAAAATAACATGATGTTTAAGTGATAAATTCCAGGTACTCAGATACGGCAAAAATGGGGATCTGAAACATAATACAGGGTACAAAACACAATCGAATCTGCCCATAGTAGGAAAACAGCATGTCAAGGATTTAGGAATAATGATGTCCGACGACTTAACATTTAGGGAGCATAACCAAGCAAGTATTGGGTCAGCCAGAAAAATAATAGGATGGATTACGAGAACCTTCAAGTCCAGAGATCCCATCACAATGGTTGTACTCTTCAAATCACTTGTGTTGTCCCGTCTTGAGTATTGCTCACTACTCATTTCCCCCTTCAGAGCAGGAGAGATTGCTGAAATAGAGGGAGTACAGAGAACATATACGGCATGCATAGACGAGATAAAGCACCTAAATTATTGGGATCGTCTCAAAGCTCTCCAAATGTACTCACTAGAAAGAAGACTAGAGAGATACCAAATAATATACACATGGAAAATACTGGAGGGACTGGTCCCAAATCTACACAGTAAAATAACAACGTACTGGAGTGAACGACATGGAAGAAAATGCAGAATAGAACCAGTGAAGAGCAGAGGTGCTAGGGGGCACAATCAGAGAACACTGTATGAATATCAGAGGTCCACGGTTGTTCAACGTCCTACCAGCGAGATCAGAAATATTGCCGGAACAACCGTGGACATTTTCTAGAGGAAACTAGATTGTTTTCTTCAAGGAGTGCCAGACCAACCGGGCTGTGGTGGGTATGTGGGCCAGCGGGCCGCTCCAAGCAATAGCCTGGTGGACCAAACTCTCACAAGTCAAGTCTAGCCTCGGGCCGGGCTTGTGGAGTAGAAGAACTCCCAGAACCCCATCGACCAGGTATCAAGCAGGTACTGGTTTTATAGTAGATTTAGTCCTTAATATTTTCTGTTGGGAACCTCCTCCGGTTACCTAGAGCTATCAGACTGATATACGCTATATTAGTCTGGGGCATCAGTCAATGGAGTTCTGCCTACTGGGGACCATGAGCCAGAACCTGGCCCCCTTAGAGAGGCACAAGGAGCAAAGGCCTATGGAAACCCCATGTGTTTGGGAGCTATCCATGTCTGCCATTGACCGGGGTTAGGCACCCAGAAAGGTTGGCATAACAACAAACCCCACCTCGTAAGAAATTGCAACTGAAGACCGAACAGAGAGACGGAACTTCCCCAAAAATGTAAGGAAACAAGCAAACGTCGTTCACCACCGTAGCGCTGCTTGTCCGCATAGCCCTGCCATCCCAGTGAGGGGAAGGGGAGAGCCCTGGACCCCTCTGTGCTGGCTACTCACACCTCAGTTCATAGGCCAATGTGCTTTGGGGCTGTTGTCAACTCTGGCCTTGATTTCTTGGCAGAATTTGTGTCTGCATTGTTTTCTGCTCTTTGTGGTGTAGTAGTGAAGAGTACCATCATTGTACTGGGGCTGCATGGGCTGCCTTCTTTAAGGGCCCTGTAAGTACTACCGTTGGGTTTTAGGGTTGCCTTCCATAGAGCCTTTGGGACTCCACTTCCGTAAGGGTTCTTGCTGCTCAACATTTGCCCCCCCCTTGGGGCCCAGCTAAGGACTTTTGTTTGCCCTGGGTAGGAAGTGATTGTTGTTGCTGGTTGGGGCGCAGAGTGCTGCGTTGCACGCTTACTTACGAGGCGGCAATGATCTTGTTCCTTCTTGTGGCATAGTACTTTTGCGGGGTTTTCTTTTATTTTTGTTTTCCTTGCCTGGAGGGGGTCTGCCTTGTTTGATAGTTATTCTATTTAGGATATTTTGGTGGTCCTCCTCTAGGTCCCCATGCTTGTACATGTCACAGGGGTCCAGTTTATAGCCCATTTCCCTTTTTGTTGACATTCAGGGTCCACCTGCTAAGCAGCACCTTGTCTAGGCTTCCCATAGGCAAAACTCCCTACGGGCCCTGGAAAACCCCCATCGAGGCTTGATTGACTGATTGATGTGTCTTCTGAGTCCCACCTCGCTTTGTGTGAGTTTCGAGGTTGTACAGTGTGACGGTCACTTGTCTCAGTGTGACGGCCCTTGTCTCAGTGTGACGGTCACCTGTTTTGCCTCCTTTATGCTGCCTGTTGGATCATCAACACTTTGACCCAGAGTCATGCAAGATGTGTTCTCTGCCCGTGCTTCAGTTTACTTATTCTACTGTAACTGAGATTAGGTTTCAGGCAACTTCCGCGTTTCAGTCTACATTCAAGTTGTTGCAACGCACTAGGTTGGTTGCCCACTCGGATGACCTGGGGCTGCCCCATTTTGGTTTTAAGGACCCGGATTTGGGGGCGTTAGTCGCTTCAACTTTGGTTCAGTTCACAACCCGCAAGTCCTTCACCGGTTAGAGGTTTTTACCCTGCTTCCTTCCCCCCCCCCCACCTCCTCCCCTTGCTTCCGGCTCTCAAACGTCTGAGTGTTTCCTTGTAGGGGTGAGATTTTGTCGATGATGAGACTCGGGCAGCTTCAGGGGCTGCCCCATTTGAGTCCGAGATGGAGGCATTCGAGCCTGCTCATCCTACCAAGGATTCTGGATCCTACCAGCAGACTGCCTTTGCTGCCTTTTCTTCAGGGATATAGGGTATGGAGGACTGCTCTGCCCCGAGGCCTGGCTTGGAGGCTTCCGGGGTTGGGGAGGAGTCGCCCTGCGGGGCTTGGGCCCCCTTTGATCCTGCTTGGGTTTTCGTGCCCTCATTGCGGGGTTTGTTGTTTGCAGGGGAAGGGGTTTTCTTAGCCACCCCCCCTTCCCCTTGCCTGTACGAGTTTGATTTGGAAGCTGGCTCCTCTCCCGGGTTTGGTTCCGGGTTCCCTTGGGTTCCTCAGCTCCCTCTTTCCATATGTTTTCTGCCTCTCAAATCCTGCCTAAAGAGGTTTGGAGGCTCTTGTTGCTTACCTCCTGCAAGACCCAGATTTTGCCTCTGTGATGGATCCGTCTTTGTTTGAGTACGGCTCTTCCCCGTATTAAGTGCATTATGAAGTTCAAGAGTCTTCCTGGCTTGCAGACTGCCCTTTCTTTTTACAGGGAAACGTGGCATGGGTTTTGTTGGACGCGCCTCGCAGGCATTTGGCCTTGGTCTTGCGTTTCTTTTCCCTTCTCAAGTTATCTTCGGACTGGCTTGAGGAGGATGTGGAGGCGTTGAGTGTTGGCCCTTCGTCTTGGGCGCTAGCCTCGACGGCTCGGGCGTTGGCCATGCTGTTGAAACTGTTTGCGCCGATACTCCGGGAGGCAGTGTCTCTGGTCTTTGTCTCTCGCCTCGAGTGTCGCCAGGCTGTGCTCACTCTCTCTTTGGAATCCGCTAAGACCCTGGCTCTTAGGTATTCATTGACTGTTTGTTCGTTGCTGTTTGCAGACACTGCTATCACACAGTTTCTGCAGACACTGCTGTCACACAGTTTTCTGCAGTAGTCGTTCTATATCGGATTTGTTGCTTCTCCGGGGGTGACCATTCTCGGGCCTCTTAAAAGGGTCATGCTGGGGCTCGGGGTTCTTCTAGTCGAGGTAGGTTCTTGGTGCCAGTTTCTGAGCTTGCACTTCCTCCGCAGTCGGCATAATGCTTGCTCTGCTTGTAGGCCGACTTCTTATAAAGGACGTCGTCCCTTTCGCAGGTCGCCCCGTTGATGGGGTGCTGAGGGGGAAGCTCGGGCTGTTTGCTCACGCCTGACCCCACGATTTTTGGGCATTTTGGGTCGTGTTGTCCTCCGGCCTGTGGTGGCGTTAGGTGGCTCCTCCTCCTCCTGGTGGTTCAGGGCTGGCAGAGCAAGCGACTTCCCCTTCGTTTCGTCGGGTCATCCTGGAGTGGGTGCGCCTAGGCATAGTCGAAATGACCTCATCCCTCAGGTGGATTTCCCGCCTGCTCCCAGTGCTGAAATGGGACTGTGGGGATCTTTTGTTCATTCTGGACTTGTTCCCGTCTGAACCTCTGAATTCCTTACCTCCTCCTTTCAGAGGACCACTCTGTCCCAGGTCCAACTTCTTTTGGCGCCGGGTTCTTGGATGGTGTGTCTGGACCTCCAGGATGTGTATTGGCACATCCCTATTCATCCGGGGTTCAGGGACTGGTTGGATTTTGTCGTGGGGCGGTAAGCTTACCACTTTTGTTGCCTTCCTTTTGGCTTGAATCTGGCACCTTGGGAATTCACACATCTTACCCGGGTCGTGGTGGCCTGTCTGCTCTTTCGGTCCTGGTGGTTGGTTTGTTCAGTTGCATCTGTCTCCTTTTCTGGCGAAGAATGAGACAGCGGGCTTTTGGAGGAGCCCTTGGGTCATTGATGCTTGGTTGGTCAGGCCAGGGGTGCATCATGTGTTGTGTTCGGTTGCAGCTCTCCACCGTTATCTGCATGCCGCCACCTCTGTGGCTGTGGACGCGCTTTGGGTTGACTCGATTTCCCTCGCTTCCTGTTCCAGGGCTTGGATCTCGAAGGATTATCAAGTCGGGCCAGCCTGTAGTCTACCCTCATGCTCATGACGTTCGTAAGTATTCTGCTTTGGCTGCCGTGTTTGGCAACATGTCTTAGACTGACATTCGGGCACAGGGGTTTTGGAGGTCAAACTGGGTCCTGGTTGCTCATTATTTGGTAAATGTTCCTGGTCCCGGTTGTTCATGTGTGGCTTTGAGTTGCAGGTTGCAGCCAGTTGTCTCGACTTAGAGTTGATGTGCACATTGTGGCCGCCTCCCGGGTAGGTCCCCCTTTTACTTGTCTTTGTTTTTGTAACTCCAGGGAGCCGGAGGGGCTCCCCACAGAAAACCAGAGTTGAATGTAATGAAATGCCATTTTCTGGGGGAGCCCTGGAGGCTCCCTGGCATCCTCCCTCCCTCTGGTCAGCAGTTTCGTTTTTGATGCTCAGTCTCCGAACCAAGGTGTGAGTAGCCGGCACTGGGGTTTGGGGCTCCCACCTTCTCCTCCCGGGAAAGCTGCTCAGACAAGTGGCACGGCAGTGGTGAATGATGTTTGCTTGTTTGCTTGTTTTCTTATGTTTTCTTATGTGGGAGTTCTGTCTCTGTTCCGTCTTTGGTTGCAATTTCTTACCAGGTGCGGGTTTGTTTTGTTATGTCTACCTTTCTGGGTGCCTAACCCCAGTCGATGGCAGACATGAAATGCTCCCAAACACATGGGGGTTTCCATAGGCCATTGCTCCTTGTGTCTCTCTGAAGGGGGGGGGAGGGCTAGGTTCTGGCTCGTGGTCCTTAGTTGGCAGACCTCCATTGACTGATGCCCCAGACTAATATAGCGTATGTCAGTCCGATAGCTCTAGGGAGCTTCTGGGGCTCGCCAAGAAAAATGGGGTTTCATTACACTCAACTCTGGTTTTTGTGTTTTTGCGTGCAGATCATGTGTATACGAGAAGGCTACCGCAGTGTCCCACTAAAAAATGCTTATTCTGAGGAGATTGAACTGGCATCTATACTTATTCACCTCAAGAGCACAAGAGATGTAAGTACCAGATTGTTGTTGTTGAAAACAATACATTGACTTGTATGCATTAGATAAGGCTATGATGTGTTGTTAGAGCTCTCACTCGCTCATCACATAAATGAAATATGCCAGGTTAGGTTGGAGCTTATGGGCACTGTTCCTTCACTGTTCACTGCTGTGCACCCACCACAAATTAGGCACCTGGATGTAAAGTAATTAGTGGGTTATGTTAAAGGAAAAACAAGTAGGGTAAAACTTTAAGTGAATTGAATCCTTTCCTGTTAAGAAAGTTCTGAAGGTTTCTTCTCATATACCCTCATGTAAAAAAAGAAAAATTGTAATGGCTCTTACATCAGTTACTAATGATGTTCGGTTTGGCACCAATGGCTGTAAGGAATATAGCTGAAAATAAAAAGAATAAAAAATTATAATTTTCCCATAAGGAATAATGTAAATTGGATTTCCCAGTAGCTGAACAACAACTATTGGTAAACCGATTCATCTGGGATGCATGTTTACATTTGAGTGCCAAACAAACGATCAACTACCGAACATGAACACAGTGTTCGAGTGCCGAGTTGTTCAAGTGGGGACTGTTCGATCCCAATGTTCCACTGTACTGTTTAATGATTTAGAATCAACAAAAAATATACATGGTACAGTATATGAATAATAAATTAAATAAAAATAAGCAAATATTGTACTGAGATTTTCTTGCATTTCAAACTTTAGCCCCTTTTGTTTTTTGTTTTTTTACACTTGCATACATTTTTGTTGCCTCTCTGTTTATTGTATAAGGTGATCAAGCAAGAAAGAGCACAATGGAGTCATCTCAAAACACTACTGATGAACTTGGTGTACATTACCTGTACAGTATTCTGGATCTATTGAGATCTGGCTCACTCAGTCTTGGGCAAGTGGACATCTCTAGAACAAGACTAAGAAAATATTTAACTTGCACTAAACACTACATAAATCAATTGGCAAGTTAATAAATATACAGGTCTTAATTCCCAATAAATAAATAAATAAATAGATGTCATACATAACATGTTATGATGTATAAAATGTTATTACGTACCTGAAATATACTGAAAGTAAGTACTGTAAGTATGCCTAGTGGTTTGAGCAGGCTGATGAATGGAGTGGTAGAAGCCTGGTCAGGAGGTGCACCGTCTACATGTGGCTCTGGCTTTGTTTACATTTCATCGCCAAGAGATTGTAGCACATAGGCACGTCTCCACCATGTTTGAAAAGCTTATTTGTTGGAATATAGAGCAAGACAATGGAGAACTTGCTTTATCACAGCAAACCTACTATTATTTGGCCACATCTGCACATCACAACCAGAGGGATAAACCTACTTCTGCATCATATTAAATAATTAATCAAAACCTGTATCATAACCTAACTTATAAATTTACACTGCCTGAGCTAGATAATCTTCACCCTGAAAAATAGATATTTTGTATTTGTAGCAAGATGTACGCAGTGAACTGAAGCATCTAAGACTAAGATGCACCATGTGCACAAGACAGATGTGTTGTGTTACATTATCACATGCTCTGCCACCTCTACATGTCACTTACTCTCCAACCTTAACATTGGCAAAGTTTGATTCTTTGGCTTTAAATTTGAAGGTTGTTCTAATTAGACTATACATGGAGAGTGATTGAAAAGTAAAACATAATCAGCAGTTTTAAAGGAAGTTAATTTTGTAACCTCTGGTATTTTGGTGGCACTAATGTTTCACTCCACAGCAATGATAAATATGCAGGTAGTAGAACCATCACCAGAAAAAAAAATGGTTTTTGTGTTCAGAACCACCAATGAATTTCAGCTTCAGTATCTATATCACAGTGAAATTAAAAAATTGTTTGAGGAGACCCAAATTTGCATTGCTGTCTATAGAAGGCATCGTGATGCTTCACTGCACGTCTTGTAGGAAAGTTGCTCGAGAGCTTCAGGTGGGAGGTACTCGGTTATCCTCTATAGTTCTGACCTTGTACCATCTACCTTACTTCAGGGCTTAAAAGCAACACATTACAAGATAATGTTAGTCGAGATGCTGCAGTTGAACATAAGTTTGAGAGTATATTAGTAATAATTCCCATTGTTACGGACAGCAAATTGCAGATAAAGGATAATATTCAGAGGTTGAAAATGGGAAATAGATTCACGGAAGATGAAAAGGAAATGTGTGAAACACTAAACGAAAAGTTCCAAAGTGTGTTTGTACAAAATGAAATCTTTAGGGAACCAGATACAATAAGAATTCCAGAGAACAACATAGAACACATAGAGGTGTCTAGAGACGAAGTGGAAAAAATGCTCAAGGAGCTCGGTAAGAACAAAGCAGCTGGCCCAGATGGCGTTTCACCATGGGTTCTGAGAGAATGTGCATCTGAGCTCAGCATTCCACTTCACCTGATCTTTCAGGCATCCCTGTGTACAGGAATCGTAGCAGACGGGTGGAAACAGGCTAACATAGTTCCAATCTACAAAAGTGGCAGCAGGGAAGACCCCCTCAATTATAGACCTGTATCATTGACAAGTGTAATAGTGAAAGTATTGGAAAAACTAATCAAAACTAAATGGGTAGAACACCTAGAGAGAAATGATATAATATCAGACAGACAGTATGGTTTTCGATCTGGAAGATCCTGTGTATCGAATTTACTCAGTTTCTATGATCGAGCCACAGAGATATTACAGGAAAGAGATGGTTGGGTTGACTGCATCTATCTGGACCTAAAAAAGGCTTTCGACAGAGTTCCACATAAGAGGTTGTTCTGGAAACTGGAAAATATTGGAGGGGTGACAGGTAAGCTTCTATCATGGATGAAAAATTTTCTGACTGATAGAAAAATGAGGGCAGTAATCAGAGGCAATGTATCAGAATGGAGAAATGTCACAAGTGGAGTACCACAGGGTTCAGTTCTTGCACCAGTGATGTTTATTGTGTACATAAATGATCTACCAGTTGGTATACAGAATTATATGAACATGTTTGCTGATGATGCTAAGATAATAGGAAGGATAAGAAATTTAGATGACTGTCATGCCCTTCAAGAAGACCTGGACAAAATAAGTATATGGAGCACCACTTGGCAAATGGAATTTAATGTTAATAAATGTCATGTTATGGAATGTGGAATAGGAGAACATAGACCCCACACAACCTATATATTATGTGAGAAATCTTTAAAGAATTCTGATAAAGAAAGAGATCTAGGAGTGGTTCTAGATAGAAAACTATCACCTGAGGACCACATAAAGAATATTGTGCAAGGAGCCTATGCTATGCTTTCTAACTTCAGAATTGCATTTAAATACATGGATGGCGATATACTAAAGAAATTGTTCATGACTTTTGTTAGGCCAAAGCTAGAATATGCAGCTGTTGTGTGGTGCCCATATCTTAAGAAGCACATCAACAAACTGGAAAAGGTGCAAAGACATGCTACTAAGTGGCTCCCAGAACTGAAGGGCAAGAGCTACGAGGAGAGGTTAGAAGCATTAAATATGCCAAAACTAGAAGACAGAAGAAAAAGAGGTGATATGATCACTACATACAAAATAGTAACAGGAATTGATAAAATCGACAGGGAAGACTTCCTGAGACCTGGAATTTCAAGAACAAGAGGTCATAGATTTAAACTAGCTAAACACAGATGCCGAAGAAATATAAGAAAATTCACCTTCGCAAATAGAGTGGTAGACGGTTGGAACAAGTTAAGTGAGAAGGTGGTGGAGGCCAAGACCGTCAGTAGTTTCAAAGCGTTATATGACAAAGAGTGCTGGGAAGACGGGACACCACGAGCGTAGCTCTCATCCTGTAACTACACTTAGGTAATTACACTTAGGTAATTACAGGAAGCCAGTAATTAGGCTTATCAAGGCTCCCCTAAGCCAGCTACCAATCTTCCCCCAGGATGCAAGCCACAACAGTTGCCAAACTCCTGGATGCCTACTATACTGCTAAGTGAACTTAGCAGTATATTAGATAAATATTATATTACTTAGCAGTATATTAGAAGTGAGCATATTAGGTAAAAGGAAAAGTATCCATCCCTTTCTGTCCTACCCTGGGATTGAATCCAGATCCCTCAGTTGTGAACTGAGGACGTAGACCACTGTGCTACGGACCAATTCCTATGGAATTGACAAAAGATAATTTTATTTTCTTGGAATAAATATCTAGCCTTGGTAGTGACTGGTTATTATTGCCTAAATACTTGTGACACACTTTGGAATAAATTAACTTAAAAATTACAAGAGCTTGTAGTATTGAAACAGCTGAATTATGTTCTGGAAGCCCTTTTCTTATGATGTGTTGTGTACATGTTCTACCCCCTTTGTTTGGGATAAATTTCTTTACATAGTGATTTCATGTCAATTAATCTGAATTAATCTGCAGGATGAATATGAGACACTGCTGAAACTCAGGGCGCAGATCATCGAGATGCTGGATGTGTCAAAACGCAAACATGAAGAAGAACGGATCTTAATACTAGAGCGAAGATTAAGCTCACTAGAAAAGGATATATTAAAATTTCAAGGGAAATTAGCAGCTAAGTTTGAAAATATGAAGCTAGGCATCACTACCTCACCACTCCTCAGTAAGTCTAAAAGAAAATGTAATTTGGCATATCAATAATTTTAATGGCTCCTGCTGCATATTAGTAAGGGTTCTCTTAATGTTTTCCATTTTTATTTATTAATAGGCCAGTGCATTTTCAATAGTTTGTATTTCATGTGTCTGTCTACCAGGATGCAGTATTTTACATGATTGTATTTTTTGTTGATTGGTTGTACATACCTAGTTGTGCCGATGGGGGAGCAAGATTTACTTAGCGTAGTTAACACTGACCCACAGGACAACTAATAATGACAAAGAAATAGGTGGTATTTTAAAGAACTGTACAGTACTTTGTCTCAGTATTTACTAGAGAGGAGCATATTTTATCTGGAGCTCAAGCAATCTGTATGTGGTGAAGAGGATAAGTTGACTAGTAAGTTTCTTGTAGGGTCCTTAACCCTTAGGCCACTAAGGGCCTTTTGGCCTTCAACACCCACAAGCACAAAAAAAAAAAAAAAAAAAAAATTCATCTTATGAAAGTGTTTGTGTTCCCTGATCATGGGAAAAATAAAAAACAAAAAAAATCGTAGGTGGCATATTTTGGCCGCAATAGGGCGGGGAAGTCTGGCAAAAAAGAGGTGATGCCAGAGCAGGCGCCAGACGAGGTCTGTTCCACCCCAGCTGTCAGGTGGGAGTTGCCACAAAGATATTATTACCTAATTATTTCAATGTCTGATTTTTTTTTTTTTTTTTTTTGCAGTAATATTATTCAATAGTGTGTATTGTGATATATTTATATAATAAAATGTGTGAACCATTGCTATACTCAAAATTATGGTGTGCATTTTAGTGATTCAATTATTATGTTCATAAAACAATAAACAAATAGTTTTGCTGTTATTACACTATATACACAGGTTATATATAAGTATCTGCAGGTTTTGTTCACCATAACGAACTACTCAGTTGGTATTGTGAGTCAAAAAGCAACGAAGAGTGACCACCACTCACTAGCCAGCCAGCCAGCCACTCGCCACCACTCCCTCACCTCACTCTCCAACATACTCCTCCCACTATACTGTTTTTGCTTTTATTCACTATACACATACGTTATATATAAGTATCTACATGTTTTGTTCACCATAACTGTACATCTAAGCTTCTATGGTGAGTTCAGGCAATAAGAGACATAGCTACACATAGTCAGCTGGTGGCTGCCGCCCTCACTGGTTCAAAGCCAGACGCACTAATATTTCTCCTCCAACAATACTGTTTGTAGTGTTATTACACTATATACACACACATTATATGTAGGTATCTACATGTTTTATTCAACATAACTGTACAAATAACTTGGTATGGTGCCTAAAGACCATAGTGGCCACTAGTACACAACATGACATGTCGTGCAGATGATGCCCCCTTCCTTGCCAAAATGGCTTCTCCCAACATACTCCTTTTGCTGTTATTACACTATGTATACACACACACGTTATATATAAGTATCCACATTTGTGTTCACCATAGTGAACCACTAAGCTGGTATAGTGAGTCCAGACAGTAAAAGGTGGTCACACAGAGTCAGCAGACAACGCTACCTCCCTCCCCACGAAGCTTGCAACTCCCATTGCAGCACTTATTATCACCAGAATCCTGGTCATTTTTATCACAGTCAGGGATCTTCTGTAATACTATCATCGCTAAATAATAGCATGTACATATATATATATTGTGCCATTTTTAGGCGATGCTGTGGTCACAAACTGAACAGTGGTGCTGTAAGCTCATGCTGCGTGCACCAGCCTCGCTCAGTACTGAGGCTCTCACACCCGGGAATGTTGCCCACGATTTTTTTTCTAGGTGGTGTCTGTTAACTATCGGTCATGGCTGGACTATAGCTGCCCTTATCCCTCGCGGGGCATTTGAAATCGTGCACTAGAACCTCAATCATCTATATATGTATTGCGCGGTTTTGGTAAAGTTACTCCCATCGTCTATATATGTATTATGCGGTCTAAGGGTTAAAGACTGTAATGATTTTCTTGGTGTGCTCTTATCTTTCATATCTATTAAATAAGAACATAAGAATGAAGGTAACTGCAGAAGGCCTATTGGCCTATATGAGACAGCTCCTATTTATATCCATCCAATCTCATTCATATAGATGTCTAACCTATGCTTGAAACCGTCAAGGGATCCTACTTATATTATGTTACGCGGTAATTGGTTCCAAATCATCAACCCTGTTACTGAACCAGTATTTACCCATCTCTTTCCTAAATCTAAATTATCTAATTTATACCCATTATTTTGTGTTCTGTCTTGTGTTAGTACTTTTAATACCCTATTAATATTCGCCTTTGTTGTGTACATTCATCCACTTGTACACCTCTATCATGTTACCCCTAATTCTTCGCCTTTCTAGAGAATGTAATTTAACCCTTAAATGGCGCATAGCTATATACCATTTGACACCCACAGGCGCATACCAAAAAAAAAAAATTTTTTTTCTTCCTAATCTGTTAATTTCTGTTCACTGATCACGGGAAAAATAATAAAAAAATCGTAAGTGCCATATATTGCCCACTATAGGGCAGGGAAGTGTGACAAAAATCAGGCGCTGACTGAGCGTGCGTCCCAGGCGGTCTGTTGATCGCCAGCTGTCAGGCCAGAGTTTCCACAAAGAGATAATTACCTAATTATTTCAATGTCTCTGAGTTTTCGTAGTTTGTTTGCTGTAATATTATTCAATAGTGTGTAGTGTGATATATTTATATAATAAAATGAGTGAATCATCGCTGTACTCAAAAATATGGTGTGCATATTGTTGATTCAATTATGTTCATCAAACGGTGAACAAATACTTTGTCGGTTATTACACTATATACACAGGATATATATAAGTATCTGCATGTTTTGTTCACCATGACAAACCACTAAGTTGGTATGCTGAGTGGCAGTGGCAGTGGCAGGCAGTGACTGGCTGCCACTGGCTGCCACTCCCTCCCTCACCTCACCTCACCTGCCTTGCCACCATTCTCCACCCACCATACTGTTTTTGCTTCTATATACAGACGTTATATATAAGTATTTACATGTTTTGTTCACCATAACTGTACATCTAAGCTTGTATGGTGAGTAAAGGCAGAGAGACGTAGCTACTCGCACAGTCAGCTGGTGGCAGCCGCCCTCAAGGCCAGACGCACTAATATTTCTCCTACAACAATACTGTTTGTGGTGTTATTACACTAGATACACACATTATATATAAATATCTACCTGTTTTATTCACCATACTTGTACAAGTAAACTGGTATGGTGCCCAAAGACCATAGTGGTCATCAGTAAACAACTTGATAAGTCCTGCAGACGACGCCACCTCCCTCACCAAAATGGCGGCTCCCAACCTCCTACTCTCGCTGTTATCTCACACTGTACACACGTTATATATAAGTATCTACATTTGTGTTCACCATAGCGAACCACTAAGCTGGTATGGTGAGTGCAGTCAATAAAAGGTGGCCACACACACTCAAAAGACAACGCCACCACCCTCCCTCCCACAGCATTACTCCTCCCTCCATGGCGCACAGCGCTAAATATCACCACAATCCTGCTATTATCAGAACCCTGGTCAGTTTTATCACAGTCAGGGGTCTTCTGTAATAATATCATTGCTACATAATAGCATGAACAAGTATATTATGGCATTTGTAGGCGATGCTGTGGTCACAAGCTGAACAGTAGTGCTGTGAGCTCATGCTGCGTGCGCCAGGCTTGGTGGCTCACTCAATTCTGAGGCCCCTAACACCCTGGAGTTTGTTGTTGCATACATGTTGCACGCTGGACTTGTGATCCTGTGGTCCCGGGTTCGATCCCAGGCGCCGGCGAGAAACAATGGGCAGAGTTCCTTTCACCCTATGCCCCTGTTACCTAGCAGTAAAATAGGTACCTGGGTGTTAGCTGTCACGGGCTGCTTCCTGGGGGTGGAGGCCTGGTCGAGGACCGGGCCGCGGGGACACCTAAAGGCCTGAAATCATCTCAAGATAACCTCAAGATGGTGGAAGTGGAGCATATGTTATGTGCTTAAATTGATTTGCCAAGTACAGGTACTTCTGAAGGGGGCATTCTCGTGGTATTCAGCTGATGCTCTCTAGGTTTAAACATAGAAATGAAAGGAACAACATATAATGAAAGTTAAAAAATATGTACATAGGTTTTAGGGCTCTTTGCTAAAAACCAAATGCTAGAAACCTTATGTGCTTATGTGACATCATTGTGCAAAACTAGACAGTTACCCCAGTTCTTTTTGCCCTTGTCCATGCCTGACTAATTAAAACAAGCAAGTCAAAGGCTTGGCAAGCTGTAATTTTCTATTAAAAATCTATGCAAACATTTCAACCTTAATTCTGCCTCGGTTAAAATAGAGCAAGAAAGGTATTACCTCGCATATCTAGACTGGGGCATCTATTAAAGCATTGTCCTGGTGCTACATGATCAGAAATGAAATGAAATGAAAGTAAAATATCACGGTGCCATGTACAGTAGTACAAAGTAAAGATTTAAATAAGCCTATAGGCCAGTATGCCTTCTGTGTAAACATTGTGCAGGTGTTCTGGTGTGTTCATATGATGTCATTGTTTAACCTAGGCTTATACCCTAGTAGTTCAAATACTGTATAAGCAAATAAATAGAATAGTAGCATCTTCAAAAGCAATTATTCAGAATAAAGAGGACAATATGCAATTATAAGAGGGTGACCTAATACTCAAGATTCTAGATCAGTTCCTAGTACAGGATGACACTTGCTCTCGCTAGGCTCTTAGATATGGGTTTGTTGTTTCTCATAAGATGTACGAAAACTGCCTACAAAAAGATGTCAAGAGACAAATGATAAAGATGGAATATAATAATTGTACAAAAACTAAGAGAAATGACTGGGAATGAAAAAAAAGGTAAAGGATGGAGTGTTCTAAAAGAAATGGGTGACTGGAGAATAAATAAGGCTAATTAGAAGTGATGAATAGATTGGGGGGGGGGGAGGAAATGCTCCAGTGTAGATGGACTAATTGCTGATGTGTTAAGTTTAGGGGATGACATGATGGACATATGTGTATATCAGGTGTGACACATGTAGTAACTGGATAATATAATTAGAAAGCACACTAAGGTTCTTTCTGCCTTTTCTTATCTAAACCCAATATATAAAATGTAAGACTTTGTTTTTTTTTTTTTTCAGAAGTGGAGATGCAGCAGTGTCACTGAGATTGTAAACTGCACATCAGTGCCATTAGTGGCTCTAAACTGCCATGTATTTTAAGTGATGCTCAGTTAAGCAACTGTGTTGCTGGCAGTTGTAAACTGCACAAGCCTGGCATTGGAGGTTCTAAACTAAACTCTAGTGTTATGTTGGTTGCCGCTGCGCATTGCTGTCATTTGCAAGTCATATCAAGAATGAACGTAGCACACTGCTAACGATAAATAAAGCACTAGTGTGTTCCTCCCCCTATCCAGTACATCGTCTCCCCCAGTCCTCGTTCTCTCCCATTGCATTGTAGAGCTGGTGTTGTCAACGCCTGTCAATTTCCATCTGAGTTGGAAATACTCATACCCATTATATCATAACATGTTTCCTCAGCTCTGTGTTCCTTCCCTCTACAGTGCAATTGATGTATGTTGGCATCATCACAAGTAAGAGGTCAAGTCTCATCCATCCAGCAATGCTTTGCCATAAATCATAGTCACTTTAATTACTCCATCCAGTCCTAATGTCCAGAAGAGTCTTAATCATATCAACTAAAGTGATGTTACATTGCCATCATATGGAGCATACAGGTATTTTGAGTGGTTATCCGGAGCCTTGGGCCTGGTGTGGATCAGCAGGTATGGCTGAAGAGTGGAAGAGCCATTCTGGCCGGGAGTGTAGCTTCATTTCCCTTTAAGTCAACTTCTAAGTCATTCTTTTAATATGTAGTGTATTCTTAGTTTTACCAAAATATTTGTTTTTTCTAGTTGTGTGTAAACAGTGTTTAAGTAAAAAAAATAATAGCAAACCAAGACTTGGATCATTTGTTTGCACAAATATGAAAGGAACAAAGAAAGTTGGTATGAAGGTAACTTGTCTAGGCAGGTGTTCATCAGCATTGTGGTAAACATCTGGAGAATTATGCAAGCACACCAATTGAGTCCCTTTCAATTTTATATTGACAAAAAATAAACTCACTACTTTATATTATTGATTATGCTGACACATGTGTTGGCACATACTTTTTGTGCTATTTGCATGAAATGGTAATATCTGTATACTTGTACTTAGTGTAGTAGAAAATAAGGCCATGGATTTGATGCTCATTGTTTCTTCCATATTTTCTAGAGAAACATCCTGTTACTTTTATAATTAATAAAAGTTTATAACACAATATTTATTTCAGTAGTTGAAGGTTATGTTGAATTTTTGGCGAGTTTTGTTTTGACTTTAACAATGTTGAGGAAACGACTTGATCATTAAGAAATGACAACGTTAATTGACATGTAACAATGTACATGATCATGCTGACTTGTTACAAAATTACAGTGGTACCTCGGAATGCGAGTGTCCCTGTATGCGAGTTTTTCAGAAGACGAGCAGTATTTACTCCAAAAATTTGTCTCGGAAGGCGAGGGTTACCTCGGGACGCGAGTTTGTTGATACGCGTACAGGCCGACCTAGCGCGTGGTGGTTCGGCGATCGTCGCCCCTCTGCCCCGCCGCCCCTCTGCCCCGCCGCCCCTCAGTTTACCATTGTCTCGCGCTCAGTGACTACCCCCACATCAATTCTTCTCGCGGATTTTCAGTGTTTTGTTGGTTTTTTGGTGATTTGTCTATACAATTTGTTATTATATATCTCACCATGGGTCCCAAGAAAGCCAGTGGTAACGATAAAGGCCAGAAAGCTCATGTGAGGATGACAATAGAGGAGAAACAAGAGATCATTCGGAAGCATGAGAACGGTACACGTGTTGTTGAAGTTTGTAGTCAGTACAACAAAGCCACATCAACAATATGCACTATACTTAAGAAGAAAAATGAGATTATGGGTGCTAAAGTGGCAAAAGGAGTAAGAACAATGACGAAACAAAGACCACAAATACTTGAAGTGGAAAAGTTGTTATTAATTTGGATACACGACAAGGAGTTGAGGGGTGATAGTGTTTCGGAGGCCATCATCTGTGAGAAAGCCAGGGTGTTGCACGAAGACCTTCTAAAGAATACCCCTGCAACGAGTGATGCAGATACGAAAGAGTTTAAGGCAAGCAGGGGCTGGTTTGAAAAATTTAGAAAGAGAAGTGGTATCCATAGTGTTACAAGGCATGGGGAGGCAGCCAGCTCAGACAAACCAGCCGCTGGGCGATTTATTGACGAATTTAAAGAGTTTGCAGAGGCTGAGGGATACCTACCGCAACAAGTGTTTAATTGTGACAAAACAGGACTGTTTTGGAAAAGAATGCCTAAGAGGACATACATTACCAAGGAGGAAAAATCCTTGCCTGGACACAAGCCTATGAAAGATAGGTTTACGCTTGTGCTGTGTTCAAATGCGAGTGGCGATTTGAAAATTAAACCCTTGCTAGTGTATCATTCTGAAAATCCAAGGGTTTTCAAACAGTATAAAGTGCAGAAAACCCATTTGTGTGTGATGTGGAAGTCTAATAAAAAAGCATGGGTGACTAGGCTTATTTTTTTGGAGTGGGTGAATGAAGTGCTGTGCCCTGCCATAGAAAAATATCTGCAGGAGAAACATTTGCCACTCAAAGCCGTGCCTCTCCTCGACAATGCTCCTGCTCATCCTCCAGGCTTGGAAGATGATTTGTTGCCTAGATACAATAAATTCCTCACAGTTAAATTCCTTCCTCCTAACACCACTCCTCTAATTCAGCCTATGGACCAGAAAATCATAGCGAATTTTAAGAAACTTTATGAAAGGGCACTTTTCCGGAAATGTTTTGAAGTGACTGAAGCCACAAACCTCACCCTCAAAGAGTTCTGGAGACAGCATTTTAACATTTGTAGTGCTTTAAAACTCGTTGACAAAGCCTGGCAAGAAGTGACTCAAAGAACCCTGATCTCTGGCTGGAGAAAATTGTGGCCTGAATGTGTGAGAGAACTAGACTTTGAGGGGTTTGAGCCTATAAATGATGTGCCTATTGTTGAGGAAATTGTTAGTCTAGGCCAGCAAATGGGCTTGGAATTGGATGGTGATGATGTGGCGGAGTTGGTGGAAGAACACAACGAAGAACTGACCACCGAAGAACTCCTAGCCCTTCAACAGGAACAGCAAGCCAACGCAGCAGCGGATGATTCTGCAGTGGAGGAGGAGGTGGCAGCAGCACCAGCGAATGTCCCTTCTGCAGTAATTAAGAAGGTGTGTCAGATGTGGGAAGAGATTCAAACAACTGTTGAACAGACTCACCCAGAGAAAGCTGTAGTAGGCCGTTGTCTTAATCTTTTCAATGACAATGTGATGCCTTACTGCAGAGAGAGCTTGCGAAGAAGGGAAAAGCAAGCTTCCATGGACAGATTTGTGGTGAGAAAATCGAGCAGTGAGCCTCAACCAGGACCTAGTGGCACTCAGATAAAACGTCCCAGGGAGAGCACACCAGAAAAGTCCTCACTGCCTGATGTGATTATGGAAGGGGACTCCCCTTCCAAACAGTAACTCCTCTCCTCCTCCCCCCTCCTCACCATCTTCCATACGCCTACAGCACTCGACAGCAAGGTAAGTAATAACTGGAACATAGTTTTGTAGGTTTATTTAGATGAATTAGGTAAATTAGATATAAAAATTTAGTTTGATGTGGGGTTTTTGGGGTAGTCAGGAACGGATTAATTCATTTCCCTTTATTTCTTGTGGGGAAATTAGCTTCGGAATGCGAGTTTTCGGAATACGAGGCGTCTCCAGGAACCAATTAAACTCGTAAACTGAGGTATTTTGGTTTTCTATAGTACAGGCATAAGATTTTTCCGTTTATAAAACCCTAAAATAAGTAATAGCTTAATTTAGATAGCACACGAGAGATGTGTACACCTATCAACCCCCTAGAAAGTATGGGACGTGTTTTAAGTAAGGTAGAGGACTGACTACCTGATGAAGAATTGGAGAATTCAGTTGAGAGGTAAGTGATATGGGGTACCAGAGATTGAACTGATCTTTGACCCCAGCTTAAGAGAAGTAAGTTAGTAATTATCAAAAAGAAGGCACCAAACCGGGAAGGTTATGTAGCACCATCAAATGTGCGGGATAATCAGAGGGCGCTAAATATCACCAAGGATGCCAATACGAGAACAGAAACGCATAAGGCGAACGATATCAAAAGTATCCGAGTCGCCGAGAATACTATCGAGAGACAAGCGACCGCGGGGGACGGTCGGAAAACAAGACACGCTCGTCCCGGAAGTCAGGACACTCGACAAAAATATGCACGACCGTAAGAGGGACAATCCAATTAGGATAATAAGGATCAGGGCGGCGCTCCATCAAGTGACCATGAGTTAAGCGAGTATGGCCAATACGCAACCTTGCCAGAGCCGTTTCCCATTGCCGGTTACAGTGGCAGGAGGACGGCCACGAGGACACACAACCTTTAAGAGAACGTAGTTTGTTACCAGTAACAGACGACCAATAAGCCTGCCAATGGGTAAGGATGGAGGAATGGATAACCGGGTAAAAGTTGGAATAAGGAATGCCTTTACGAGAGATGGGACAAGAGCGGACAGTTTCCCTGGCGCCAGCATCCGGACGCTCATTTAAAGAGACGCCAATATGGCTGGGAACCCAACAAAACTTAACCGGCTTAAATTTACTGTGAACAAGAAACAGCCAATGCTGGATCTCGACAACCACTGGATGAACCGAATTAAAGGCCCCGAGAGCCATGAGGGCACTAAGAGAGTCAACAACAGCTACAAAGGAGGATTGACAACAAGAGAGCAGGAGACGAAGAGCATAGAGAATAGCATAAAGCTCCGCTGTGAAGATGCTAGTCTCCGGAGGTAAGCGACACATGTGTGATCAGGAAAAACAACAGAGTAGCCAACACCGTCCGCGGACTTAGACCCATCAGTGAAGATGGAAACGGAGTGCGAGTGAGAAGAAAAGTGCTCAAGGAAAAGGCATTTTAGAACCGTAGGAGGGGTAAAAGCTTTAGTGATGTGGGTCAAGGATGTACAAAACTGCGGAAGGGGGACTCTCCACGGGGGCAAAGAAGAAACAACACAGGGAGAAATATTAAATACGAGCGGAAAGAGAATCCTGTAAGCGAGATAACCGGACAGAAAGAGGGAGGTGGTGAAGAGGAACAGGAACCACAGGAGGGCTAAAAGTTAAAGCATGACAGAGGCGAGAGGAAGGATGTTGCAAAGATCGTGCAAGATAGCAAAGACAGTAGCGATCACGGCGGTCCTGGAGAGACAGGAAGCCAGTGTCAACATACTAGCTGAGGACGGGAGTCGAACGAAAGGCACTAGAACTGAGGAGCAACCCAGTATGGTGCAAAGCATCAAGACGGCGAAGAGTAGGAGGAGATGCAGACGAGTAAGCAGGGCAACCATAATCGAGCTTAGACAGGACGAGAGAGGAATATAAAGCAAAGAGAGTGTGTCTATCCGCTCCCCAAGAAGTATGGGACAATACCTGAAGGAGGGCAAGGGCCTTAGAGCACTCAACACGGAGGTAAGAGAGATGGGGAGACCAAGACAAACGAGTGTCAAAGAATAACCCCAAAAGCTTCGCAGAATCTTTGTACTCAAGGGGATGACCATAAAGTGACAAAGAGGGACGAAGAACGACCCGTTTCCGCGTAAAAGTCATGGCACAAGTCTTAGTAGAAGAGAACTTGAAGCCATGATCGGTGACCCAAGACGACACGGCATCAATCGTAAGTTGAAGCCGGCGTTGAAGGAGAGGCGAATCATCACCCCTGACAGCAAAGGGTAAGATCATTGATATAGAGAGCGGAGAAGACACCAGAAGGAAGAGAGGAAAGAAGACCATTGAGGGCAACCAGAAAAAGAGTAGTGCTCAGAACACTACCCTGGGGCACACCTTCGTATTGCTGAAAAGAGGCAGAGAGAGCGGTACCAAGCCTCACCCGAAAGGAACGACGAGAGAGGAAGCTGCGGAGAAAGAGAGGGAGATGACCACGAAGGCCAAAAGAATGAAGCTGGGATAGAATATGATATCGCCAAGTGGTGTCGTATGCCTTTTCCAGATCAAAAAGGACGGCAACAACGGAGGTCTTCGCAGCAAAAGCAGCACGAATATAGACCTCCAAGTTCACCAGGACATCTGGTGTGCTGCGGCACTTGCGGAAACCAAATTGAGAAGGGGAGAGGAGGTGATGGTGTTCCAGGAACCACATCAGAGTAACGGTAACCATACATT